GCACATTGATCGCGACAACACAACGCAATTGTTGGCCCCTGACTTGTTGCCTGCTTCCATTTTGTAATATGCAAGCCAGTATTATCGCCAACGTGTTGACCGATACACACATGGGTGACAAAACTGATATAGCAGAGAAACGGATGAAATGTTCTACAGGACTAACCGATAACCAGTTGTAAACCGATCCGGATATCCGCATCAGCGATGTTAACGACAGCGCACCACAGTTCGGGCCATCCAGTTATGCCACAAATTCCGCCGCAGACACAACCAGTCAACAGGCTAGTATGTTTCACATATATATACGTGAAGGAGAGGCATACAGCTCAGAAACGCTACCTATTGCGCTTGACGCAGTTCACAACCAAGTGGTATAGTCAAGTATAAATTAATTCAGACAATTAACAAGCTGTTTCCAGAATCACCTCCGAGCTTAAATGTAAGCGTAGCTCCATCAAACGTAAGGCAACCACGAGACGACATAAAATGAAAGATGTCCCAATGTTAACCCCGAAGCTGATTCAAACAAGGCCCTTTGATTTTGAGACACTCAGTGACTTCATGCATTGCTGGTGGCAGTAGACGGTGACGATCCACCACTAACCGGAACTTTGTCAATTGTTGTTAACTTACTAGACATAAATGACAATTCTCCGGTTTTTATACATCCCGATGACGATCTTTATGTGACGGTTCCGGAAAATTCCACCCTCAAAGGGGAGTCGCTTTTTGTGATAATGGCGACTGATTCGGACTCATGAGATAATGGTAAAGTTACGTATATGCTGAGTCCATTGGCGGGAGTAGATGTTGCTCGAAAATTTTCCGTTGACTCCTCAACAGGCGATATACGATTCAGACACCCTCTGGATTATGAAATCTACTCAGAACGCCATTTTGTTCTACCATTAATTGCGAAAGACTCCGGAAGTCCACAGAGGTCTTGCACAACATCGATTTTCATCAAGGTCCAAGATGTGAATGGTAATGTACCTAGCTTGGTTACTCAGGTAAACGTCACTCTTCCAGAAGGCGAATTTCTGACCAAACCAATACTCATATTCTACATTAAGGACGAAGATGAGCCCCCCCCCCACAGAATAGCAAATAAGTCATTCGCCAAGGTAATCTTGCTCATCTATAAGTAATTTGTCTCAGTTCAAATCCATAAAATCTACCATAAACACGGAGAGCTCTAGCCCGCTGTTTCGTTTAACTGGGACTCCCCGTTGGTGCGCCCCCTTACACTCCACCATTAACTGGACCCATAATCTCTGTTCGCCAGATGTTTGTGCCTATAGATCATGGGAGACTGTGGGATACTGGATGGCTTTGAGCCAAGTTTGATGAATTATATCTAAAGCACACCGAATTCCATTATTCGAATGTTATATGTATGTTCGAAATGAAAACAACGTGGTTCAGCAAACTGTAATGTGTTTTGATCACGTTAAGTACACAACGCTAAAGAACATTGCGTTGCAAAACACTAACTATTAGGATCATCACGGTCCACCCAAATAACCGATCAAACCAGGCTGCTGCGTCTATATGTGCAGAGGCGATCATGTCGAAACCTTGCAGTATATTCAAGTGTCAGCATAAAGATGACAAATTTATCCAAGTGGCACAGTACACACACACTGATGCAATGGTTTCGATTGTGTGCGCATCCATGTGGGATTGGATGTTGTACATATTCGATTAACAAATTAAGAAGAGCTTGAAAGTAGACTAATTAGGATGACGATGCCAGGTGCTTGCTACGATCAGAATCAAGTTGTTTCCATCGAAAATTGAGACTGGGAAAATATGGTATCCTGTAATCACTTATACCGTATTTGTGTTGGTCTGGGTGTTGCTCTACGGCACTCAGACGACCGGGGATTTTATAGGATTGAGACGTGACGGCAATAAGATGTGTACAAAGTTGAGTCACTAAAGGTTCCATATCATCAATAGACGGCGTCATCCTCCTTGTCTGGAGAAAACCCCGTCATGAACCTTAGATGATAGATAGCAACCACCCATCAGGACGGCATTGTAGCAGGGCCTAGAGACCGTAGACTGGGTGCGAACCAGTTCAAATGCAATGACTTCTCCTAAGATGTTTATCGGCATCCTGTGACCCCCAACGGCACCCGTGCAAATGAGTCATCACGAAATTATCAGCAGGTCGGGATCTATTTATGCGCACATTGGTGGTGGTAGAGAGCGACATGAAGTTTCTGAGACATGCGAAGTTGTCATTTTGAAGAATAATAAAACAACTTGCCTGAAAAGTTGCTTGCAAAGTTGTATGTGCAATTCTTCAATAGATTAGCTACAGTCAAATTCGCGGAAGACTGCGCGATTGCTTGAAATTTGTTTGTGGATTTAGACAGCCAAGAAAGCGAGTTGATCTACTGAGTTCATAACAAAAGATATGTGCACTGAATATTTAATTCGAGCGCACACCCTCTCCTCTCATGTGACTTTACCAACTGTAGCACATGATCAGGCTTCAATTTACAATTTCTTATTTATAATGCAGAAAATCACAACTGTTTTACAGGGATAAGCCAGGTAGCTAACAGTATAGTTTTCACAATGAAAATGATTTCGTCAGCGTCAATCAGGTTTCCTTAACTAGTTTGTATTAGGTTATCCTAAAATCAATTATTTTTTGCTACTATTGCAGAATTTCATGGAAGCTTCTCAAAGATTCTTAAACATAGGTATATAAGGTTACAGTCTGAAACGTTAATTTAACGTTGGCCAGTTAGCGTATATTTGAGTAATGGCTGCGGTATTGACAACCGATTTACATGAGGTTCACGATTGCTTTTTATAGGAATTCCTACAGGGGCGCAAGATAGTCGAAGCTTGCCGAAACGTGCGTGATGTATTTGGCATGGATAGTTGAAGTTACGGTATGGCGGCATTTTGGTACCGTCATTCCTTTCTAGGGAACTTCTAATTGTCAAATTTCGGAGGTAAAGGATGCTTGCTGACGTAATTTGTCAGCATCCAAGATGCTCTAAAACTGGATCCGAAAGAAAAAGCGTGGAGTTTCGTCGCTCATTGACCTTCAGGAAACCGCCCTTCTTTGCCATCTGCGATAATCCGGAATAGCCCCAAAGCTCGAAAAATTATCCCACACGATTTGGCTGATGAGCAGCTCTCCAACCGTTGTGCCATCTCACCATCATTGCTAATCCGAGGAGGTGATCATCAATGGAAACCATAAGTGGTTGCTTAATGACAACCATAGCAAGATGTGCCAATGGTTCGCAACGGATGTAATGCCAGCATCTGTATCGAAAGGTGAGTTGCACGGCAATACGTGACGCTGTAATTCCGTTAGGGTCGCTGCAGCGTCATCCATTGGGAATTGCTACCGTACAATTTCACGGTGACTGCCAATGCCTACTGCCACTAATTACATAAGATTGTTAGCAAACACTGAAAAAAAGATTCCGGGAGCAGCTCGAATTCTTCTCCTGCATGACAACTCAGGTAATCATGTGTCAAAGGTGACACACCCCATGATCCGGCAGCTCGGTATGGTAGCTCTTATGTTGCCAGCATATAGTCCGAACGTTGCTCTTACTGACTGCGAGCTTCTCCGCTAGCTGTACAATCACATCAAGGAAGACAAATTTGATGGCCACGATCTCATCGAAACTTACCTTGTCTAATAATTCGACAGCTAGGCCACCTCGTCCTATGGGAGAGATATCAACAAGTTGCTTGAACGGTGGCAGTACTTTGGTGAGAACAACATATGTTCCATTGGTCAAATATTGTCGCTTGTCTAAAATAAATATAGATGGAGATATGTACTATAAAGTGCGACTGGTGGTGTAAAGGCTAAAAATGAACCCATTAGGATTCATAAAGCTTATTTTGACCTGACCTTGATCTGACCTGAATTGATTTCGGGACAACTCACTAGGCTGGTGAACCAGTATTTTCATGTACCTGAGATAAACCTGGCATATTGGGCCTATTTTAGGACTGTACTCGTTCTACGATAGCTGATTAAGTTGGTACGTTACTCCCATGATTTTATCATAAGCGCCTCAGCAGCAATCACTGATGGAATGCAGTATACTGCTAAAGGATGGCTTCTCCTCTTCTAGATTGCGTGTCAGCTGAGCTCCTCCAACGAAGATCAGAACACGGATCCAGAGCTGATGGCTGCTTCGCGGGTTTTACAACTTCACGGAGTTTCGGATACCGCCTTTTTCGTCTTCTTAAAGCATTTGATGGACTATGAAGAAACTCCAAGAGCAGGTCTCCTACTTGTTTGCGTGGATCTAGCGAATCAGGACCCCGCCGTGCTCTCAGTAAGCAGCTTATTCGTATCACCGTTGCGGTTAAGGACAAGAATGATAACGCTCCGCGGTTTGTCGAAGAGAAGTACTTTGTAAAAATGATAGAAGATACCCCGCAAGTTACACGGGTTACAATTATCCAGGCAATTGATGCTGACAGCGACGAATTCGGTAGTCTAGTGTATAGCCTTGGCTCGGTGTCGATGGGCCAAGCGAAAATAATGTCACTGCCTCCTACTCAACGAATGTTTGTTTTGATCCTACTACGGGAAGAATAGACGTGCTACATTCTGCCTCACTCGACAGGGAGATAGCAGAATTGATTTACGTTAAGATAGTGGCCAGCGACAAAGGAGGATTGTCCACTACGGCTGACTTGGTCATTGACTTAACCGACATCAACGACATGACTGCAACTCCAACTGGTCCCAGGAAAGTTCGCCTCAAGAAAAACCAACGCGTAGACACCATAACTGGCATGTACGCTGTGTTGATGGGGATGTAGGCCGAAACGCACGAATTCGTTTGGCGCCACGGTAAAAGCACGAGTATATATTTGACAAGTACATTCGCCTCTTAGCGGATCCCAAATTTCAATATGTTACACCAACCAATAGATCCACAAATCAGCATGATCTCACCGACGATGGTGAAGTACGCGCTATATTGGTCAGTCAGATGCCTGTGGATCGTGAAACATATGCTGCACTATTTCTCGAGGTGGTCGCATCTGATGAAGGAGATCCAGCAAACACCGCCATAGTCACAATAACCATATACGTGGATGATGAGAACGACAATGCCTCAGCCCCCATATTTCCGTTACCTGACACCACGTTCGGTTACGACCCGCCTGTACACAGTAATACACCGTTTGGCGTAGTGGTAACAAGGCTTCGGGCAGTCGATGCACACCAGGCGGAAAGTGGAACTGTTCTATTTCGTATCAACCCCGGAACTTATGGAAGCGAGCTGTTTAATCTCAACACCAAGTCAGGTGAGCTAACCACTGCCTTGGTACTTGATCAGATGTTGCAAAGGAAACAGCGTATAAGCAGAATGGAAGAAGTTGCTGGTAGCCCATTGAACAAACCTGTGCCTGGTGTGTACCTCTTGGAGGTAATGTTAACAGACAAAGGTGTTCCAGCCAACACATTCCTTAACCGATTTTACGTCAATATTGATCCCCCTGACCTAGCTGATGGGGAACGTGCAGCAGACAATCGGTTATTTGACGTCCAATACAACCTATTTCCTCGAGTAAACTTGCTATGTATTTTGGGCTCTTGTATTGTTATTGAGTCTATTTGTTATCTACACCGGTATGGCCATGTTATTCTGGATCCGAATATGCAAGCGAGCAAAGAAGATGCAGCCTGTTAAACAGCACTTCACTAGCCCCACTGAGCGTAATGCAATGACAGGACCTCAGCTTCCTCATGGAATATGTAGTACGTTGCCTTACAGGTAGCATACGAAGGATACAATTCTAGGACCAACAGCAACAGCATTCTGCTCTTTACTGCAATTTGGAACATGCCTACGGTACTGCATCCAATGCGCAATCCTTCAACTTACCACTAGACAGTTTCTTAAAGAGCCAGTCTCCGTATGCCCTTAGTTTGTTTACATCGAGAGTACCTATCTTTGAAGCTCATTCTATCGAGACTCATCTGGTTCATGAGTTCACAACAAACACGATTTGCAACAACAACTACACTTCAGCCTATTCAGTAAGCAATAAATGCTTGCCTGCACCATGCGACCCATTCAACAACAGGTCAGAAAACTCTACGGAGACAACCAAATATCATGTTTCCATTGCATTTAATAGATTCCCAAATGATGCGTATCACGTATAGTAAAATAGCGGCTACAGTGGTTGCACAAATTTATCTAACGCGTTCACAGATTTTCTATGTACTAACGATAGAAATCGATTCCTATTCGGCTGCTTACTCGTTTAACTACCCGTCGTGAGGTTACTGGCGATAAAGTTCAACGACCACTTCACACCGATAAGCACGGTCTGAAAATGTTTTAAATAAGATGGCCGTGCCTACCCACAAAGCATTTTGGACGTTTTGGGATAACAGCAGCTAGTTCTACAAGTAACTTTTGGATGTTGCACTGATGCGTCGGTCCAAAAACCTAAATATGGTACTGTGAATGAGTTAACTCGGCAGCATAGTGCAAAGAGAGCAGAACAAGATTACTCCCTGCTTCATTCTCAAATTGCCAGTACACCAGTCGACGTTATTTCTTTGGGCAACCGTGTGCTCTTCGGACCTATTTGCAAAACCAATCCCAAGGCTTTGGTGATTCGGTTGCTTTCGCATTTAAATTTAATTATTTTTTACGGATGAGACACTACTTGCGAAAAATAGCATTAGATGGGTCGGTGGTATGAAACTTCTACACCCCACTTATATGGCATGAAGTTTGAACATCTCTGGCCACTGAGGTGCATTTCTGTCCACCATTTGGGTAAGATAAACATTGTTCTACTATGTGCTCTCAGCAGACGGTAAATGCAATATTATGATGGTCACTGGATATAGACATAACAAATCAATGTTTGCAAAGTTTATTTAAGGCAAGACCAGAAGCATCAGCCAGGCGTATCCTTCCCCCTTTGTAAACAGTGAATTGGCCATTAACAGAACACCGTATTTGCAGGAATCACGGTGAATGCCATGCCACTTGTCACCCTGTCCAATAGGAGGACTGTGTTTTTCAGGCATTCATCGCCCCAATTCCTCTAATGTCAATCACCACCGAAGGTGCAAAATTCAAGTCTTCCCCATGTTTTGTTTTGAGAGTGTATTTATGTTAGAAATTTACAATGACTCTATATGATGATCCTGGACTTGCTTAATAGTAGTAAGTTGATACTGCAACAGTCCAAAGCAACTGGTGCGCACTGTTTTAGATCACAAAGCATCACGAACGACGTCAGAGTAACATAGTGCTACGAATAAGATCTTGCGACTTTCAATCGTTGCAGACAACGTTTGCTCGATTTGAAAGTATGCCTATAAAAGTGCAAGGCTCAAGGCTGGTCACGGATAATGAATGAGTGCCTAGCTCTTTTGCTTGCGTTTGTCTGATTTGCATTGGTTTGGATTGCTTCTGGAACTGGCACATTTCTATCAATTCCTCTTTCAACACAGATTACGCCAAATGCCTCCGGGCTTTTCAATGGTAAGAAGGGCCAAAAAGAAGTACTGGAAAATCCTGCAAATTCACCCTCGATAGTCCATTTTTCCTATTACATCCATCATTCCTGATGCGTATGCGGACTTTCAGTTGGGTAATGACAATTAGGTTACCAAATGTTCAGCGAGCTTTGGTAAAAATCGGTTGGGATAGTTGATTGGTAGTATTTCGCTCGACACTAGAGCGTAGTCAGGCCAGGTGAATCAGTGTGCAGTTGGAGTGGCATTTTTAGCGAACAGGGACGATAACAGCGTTACCCGAGACTTGTACCAAGGTGTCATTACAGTCACAGCTAGTGATGTCACCTCGGGTGGTTCAATCACAGTGGGAATAGTCCACGTGTTCTTTCGTACCTCATGGCATTGACGAATAAGCCCCAAATGGTGACAATGGGAGTGGAGTTGCACTTTTAAATCTGACCCACACACTGACGCTCGTCAGGCTGGCATGTTTAAGATCGCTCCTTCCGCAGTAGAGAGGTCTACTCCCCCATTCTATTCCCACAGCTGTCCGATTTGGTAATTTCCCAATCCTCGGTAATCAACCGCTGGGGCGTTGATCGTATACCCCTCCTAATGACTACGTTTTCCAAGTCTATCTGGTGACCAGTGTCCAATGCATTTCCAGACACAGCCGAGTCTCTTAATATTGCCTTGTATTCAAACGCATTTGTCGGTGTTCTTGAAATGCGCCTTCCGTGCTCTAAAATGCGTGTGCGTAACTCTGTCGCTCTTTGACCTATGTACACATGTGTACAATCCTTATATTTAATTTTATTAACACGGTTAGTCATCCTATCCTTGAGAAGGGGGTCCTTTAGGCGCACCTGCGCTGAACCTAGCGTTTGGCCTTGCTGGAAAATAACCCTTATATTTTCCTTGTTTAGTACCCTCCGAATTACCACCGAACTCCCTTTCTTGTGCGGAATCCCTACCACCCGTATCCACTCTGTTGTGGGTCTTGACTGTCGGTTTAGCCCTTTATGTAGCTGGCTTTTGACTAGCCGCCGAAAGTAACCAGTTTGTAATAGTTTGCCCATTGCCAGTTTCTGCGCTGCGTGGCGCGCGATCTTAAACCTGCCAGCCTAACGAGCGTCAGTGTGTGGGACAGATTGAAAAGTGCGACTCCACTCCCACTGTCACCGTTTGGGGCTTATTCGTCAATGCCATGAGGTACAAAAGAACAAGTGGACTATTCCCACTGTGATTGAACCACCCGAGGTGACATCACTAGCTGTGACTGTAATGACACCTTGGTTCAAGACTCGGGTAACGCTGTTATCGTCCCTGTTCGCTAAAAATGCCACTCCAACCGCACACTGATTTACCTGGACTGACTACGCTCTAGTGTTAAGATCGAAACATTACCAATCAACTACACCAACTGATTGTTACCAGACCCCTCTGAACTCATGACTACCCGATCGGCTCCAAGTATCTTCCAAGAATTTAAAGGTTACCATGCCTTCATAAAGTGCGTCGAAAATCATCGGCTGCCTAGATTGAACGGAGAGTAAGCTGTTCCATCATTTCGTTTAAACGTAACAAACCATCGTCAACAAGTTACTTCCATTGGTGCGTGCAGAGTAATTAGAAGGCTACGCTTCTATCCCCAAGGCAAAAGAATGACAGAACACACTGAGCAATTCGCATTCGCTTGTGTCCCACTAGCAGCGATGATCTCGCTGGGGTGACTATTACGCACCACATTGATTCATCAACTAACTTCATGTGGAGACCAAGTTTTGCGTTTAGTATGGCAAATTAGTGCCATCGGCGCCAGAATTGACATAATGATACCGAGCTAATTTTGCCGTTGCTACCACACCCGTGCAGTATGACTGACAACTTGGGAGCGAAGAGAAAGAATCGTTTATTAGGCAATTAGCTGTCATTTGTCGTCACGTACTGCGTGAGTAGAGTGCATTTCTCGCTGCAACTTAAATTACTGGTTTAAGTTCTCTCTCGGGAGGCCCATACCTAAGCGTGTTTTAAGCCAACATCAAACTCCTCGAAACGGAGTTGGTGAGTACAAACCTCATGAAGAGGAGGCCGCATCTCTGAAATTTCCGCGCCAGAATTTTTCTCATATCTTCCACTATTTATCAGTCTGCCGACTTCAAAAGGTTTGAGATTAACTCATCACCCATCAAAATTTACGCTTTTTTATTGACACGTTCCATCGAGGTGTTACCTTCCACAAATGTTGCTATAATGGTTACCAGTGGCAAAGTATTGTGCAAACTGCGTCTGAGATGTGCGGTGTGTTGTCCACATGTAAAAACCGCACTGGTTATGATGGGAGGCCCATGTATATGGATGAAAGACATATCAACAAGCCCTCCTATAGAGCAAACCACTGAAGTGATGCAGTGTTGCAAACAGAGTCAGTATAAAAACTCGTGTCAATGCAAAATAAAGCGCAAAATTTAGCAATGGGTTTAAATGAAGTTTTGCTTCACATCAATCCGAACGGCGATGGAGACACTTGAATTGTTGTTGCAAGTGTACGGTGTTGAAGCAGTGAGCAAAAAGGTGTATGTTTGCGTGGATTAAAAACTACAGAGTGGGAAAAGGTGCCAACGATCTACCGCGTTCTAGTCAACCGTACGCAAGTGCACTCCCAGACGACATCAGCCTAGTGCGATGGATGCTTGCAGATGATTGGCTACTCTCTTCGTGCAAATTCATTGTAAGCAGTATTGTTCATAAACAGTAAGAAAGCAGAATATTTGTGCATGGCCAATGACGAACGCGCTGACGGACGAAGAGAAACAAACTCGGATGGAAATATCCGCACACTGGGATCCGCGAAATCAACCTTCTCGCTCAACTCAATGTGGATGTTCTCCAATGCAGTGCTTATTCTCCACATTTAACGTCGGCAAGCTTCTTTGTTTCTCCCATTCTTAAAGTAACCCTGAAAGGCTTATACTTGACAGACATTGCGGATATCCAACGACAAATGAACATGATGTTGGAGCGAGTCCATAAGGCAGGTTTGTTGACAGTTTCCAACAGATTAACGACCGAAGTCAAAAGTGTGTAGTAGCTAATGGTGATTACGGAGTTGGTAAGCGCATTCCGGTTGAAGGCCATGTTGAGACAATAGTTGGTTTCCCCCTAACAGTATGCGAATATCCAGATGTATTCCCTTTTGCAAAA